AGGACTTGTTAAAAACATATTTGGCACTGGACGGCCAAAGCACTGGTAAAAGTTACAGCTATAAACTATGGATCTTAAACTGGTTTTGCCTTGTTAAAAACATATTCTCAAGTCTCACCTCAGATTTTGGAAATTAGAATCGCTGAGGCTTAGAACCTTCTGTGTATAAAAAGATCTATGGGTGTTTCTGATGACAGACAGGTTTTAGGAAAACAAACTAGAACAGTGGTTTCAGAATTATTCTGAAGTCTTAAAACTCTCAAGAAATATCACTGGGCTTCTCTCACCTGTTTCGGCACAAAATAGTCTCACTGCTATAGTTTAGTTTGTCAGACCCTTCCAAACTCATGTGGAAATCAGATCTCCAATGTTGGAGGTGGGGCTGAAGCTGAGGTGTTTGGGCCCTGGAGGCATATCTCTCATGAAAGGCTTGGTGCCTTCCTTAGGGTAATGAACGAGTTTTCACTTTTATTAGTTTCATAAGAGCTGGTGGTTAAAAAGACCCTGGCCCGCCCCTCCTCTCTCTTGTTTCCTCTCTTGCCACGTGATCTCTGCACACCCAGGTTCCCCTTTACCTTCCACAATGAATGAAAGCAGCCTGAGCTCCTTACTAGATGCAGATGGAACAGAGATGCCCCTCATAAGGACTATGCTTCTTGCAGGGCTTGTAGAACTGTGAGCCAAAAAAACCTCTTTTATTTATAAATTATGCCAGCCTCATGTATTCTTTTATAGAAATAATAAATGAATTAAGACATCCATTTTTATCTATTTTGTGTATTTACTCTGCTTCTTAAAATCCAAAAATCACAAGGTCGGACAGGGCAAAATGATCTCACCCATATGAGAATTAAACCCATGATTTTGGCATCAGAGCTGACCTAATCCAAAGATAAAATAGCAGACAGATAAAAAGACCAGGACTGATGAACAGAGAATATTTGTTAATGATAAGAGGAAAACCTTATAAAAGCAATTCTATAATCCACTCACTTTTATTTGTTGGATCCTAAAAGAACTTATTCAATACGTGACTGAATTGCATAATAGAATTCCAAATGGAAAAAAATATATATACAAATATATTGAATTAATTGCACATACTTATTTTTCTTAGGAAAAACTACCTTATTCTCAATTTGCAATTAAAAATCCAAAATGTGTCTAAATAAATCTGAAGCTTTGTGACCTTACTTCCTAAAATCCAAATTCTGCCATCCCTACCTCTGACTAAGAGACAGATGGCGGCAGGGAAGGCAGCAGTAGCTCTGGGCCAGGTGTTCTCCCAGAGAAAATGATTTCCCCATAAGCATAAGGTTTGGAACCTGTGAATATCTTTTAGATCCTCCCACCACCTACTGCAGAAAATTAAGTTATGTGTTGTTGAGGAAAGCAAGTAAAAATGCTAGTTACCTCCTCCCATCCTGGGCTTGGATATTCCCTCATAGTATTGGGTCTATATATCCTGGATTTTCAAATTCTCCATTCCAAACACCCTACCTAATAAAAATGTATGCTCACTGGATATTCAATTTGAGACACCCAATCTTATATGTAGATACAAACTCAAGGGACTGCTTTATTAAATGAAGCAGCATAGTATTTTTACTCACCTGTTTGAATACACATACTAAGCAGAAGATGGACTGAGTAAGAAGCCAGAAGAGCAACTGTCATCAGCAAGAAACTAAAACATAAAAGAACACCTGGTCAAATCCTCCCAAAAGTTTGCCTTTTTTATGGTATCTACAAAAACGAATTTCTTAACAGTCAAATATTCAAAGGAACTATCTCTGAGTAATTGAATTATGTTCATTAAGGAAGAAGATACTTTTCCACATTTTTGTATTTATCAAATTTTATTTATATAAAAATATCCTGATTTTAACATCAAAAAAGAAAAACCAAACTTTATTTAAAATACAAGCAAACTTCCTCATTTTGCATTCTTGTCTGCTGACTGCTGAAACAGCCATTAAATAATCTTGTAATATTTCCCTTTTACGACTGGTTTTCTTTCTATTTGAAGTCTAAATAGAAGTTTTACTTATGCAATATCAATGTCTTCTCTTTTTCCCTTCTTCCATTTCCAGTGATGTGGACCTCTTATCATACATTGACCTTATTAAGGTGTATTTAAGATTTATTTAGACAATATTTTCTAGCATCCACTAAACACATATGCTCTCCAAACCAAACCAAAATAATGTAGTTAACACACCTCTAATGACACAGTTTGAAAAATGTGCAAACAACGTAATGATTGAGATCCTCTCACCAACAGTGTGAAAGAAAAACCACAGATAATTTCCCATTTATTTTCAGGAAGACAGTGGTGGGACAGGCTTCTATAGAGCTATCCCCAATGAATTGCCCCAGTCATTGAAGAAATTTTCTCTCTGTGGTCCAGTTAATACTTGTTAATAAGTAACAAAATTGAGAGGTAAAGTATACATGTCATTAAACCGACATCAGAAACTTCACAAAATAACAGTTTGGTATCACCAAAAAAGAGGCTTGATATGACTGGATTAGCACACATTCAGTAGTATACATCTGCATGTAAGACCCTGGTGCATAAAATATGATTTTTCAAAGAGAACCAGAAAATAAGTCCTCTGACTATGTCTTAGAGTGTTATATATAGTTTTTAAGTTTTAAAAATAACAAAAGTTTGTGAATACATTCCATAATAAAAGCAAGTTGGGTAACTTAAAAGTTGCTTTGCTTAGCAAAAATTCAAAAGAAAAGCAGGAAATAAAACTATAACGGACTCCCTATGCACTTTAAATTTCCTAGTAAATACGTCTGCTTCTGTTGACAAACAAAACCAACTTGTTGTTCATTCATTCTATTAGCCATGTGGTGCTAGATGCTAAGGATAAGGTCTGGTTATAAAGGACTTCTTTATTTTTTAAATTTTTTAGACAGGATCTTGCTCTGTTACCCAGGCTGGAGTGCAATGGCCCAAACATGGCTCACTGCAGCCTTGACCTCTCTGGCTCAAGCAATCCTTCCAAGTAGCTAGGACTATAGGCACATTCCACCACGCCGAGCTAATTTTTGTATTTTTGGCAGAGACAGGGTTTCACCATCTTGCCCAGGTTGGACTCAAACTCCTGGGCTCCAGTGATCTGCCTGCCTGACCTCCAATTATAAAGCGTTTCAGTTTAGTGGGAAGATTAATTTGCAAACATATCATTATAACAATTATAACAGAATGAATATACAAAGTACTACGAGAGCACAGAATATTCAAGATGGTCTTCTATTTGGGGCAAACTGGTCTACAAGCCAAGTCCTGAAAAATAAAAGAGCAGGGAAAAAACACAGGCTTGGCCTCGGAAAGTGAAATAAGACTACTTAACAATACAAACAGAGAGAAAGGAATGAAAAGATTATGTGTTGTATTTGCACTCACAAAATTGTTATTTAGAAGTTAGTCTATATGGCTTTGATTCACTTTGGCCAAGGAGACACAATGAATATGCCCCTCTTAAGGTTATAAATCAATGTGGACCAAATTCCCAGTTTCAAATTTTAAGAAGCTATGTAGTATCCTTCCAAGCTACAGACTAGCAACAAGAATAGCAAGAAAAATGCTAAAACTCCAGAAATTACTTAACTAGAAATTGTATAATAGCAGTTTCTGGAACTGATCTACTTCTCAGTATATTATCAAAATGGAAAAAAATGTGACGGCAAAATATGAAGACTCACCTAAATCCAAGGATACCGGTATTAGCCATAACATAAGCTAAACCAAGGATGCCACTTCCCATGATGGCGTTCACCAAATTAAACACTGAGAAACCAAATGAAACACCTGGGGATCCCTGTCTGTGAAGTTCCTGTAGGCACACAAATTTAGTAGTGTTAAATGTTTGGATGGTGAAGTTCAAATTTCATGAAGAAATTCCATAAATGAAAGGTTATGGAAAAAAGCTGCGAACCATCAGGCTTTGTATGACAGACACACACTGGTTGCTTAACCAACACTAATTTCCTTCCCACCTCCCACTAGTGCAGCTCCAGGAATCTAGAGTTTCTTAGGAAAATCATTTCCACCAGTACAGAAGACAGGTAGGGTTCAGGAAGGGACATGACTAACTTTGTGACTGTAAGAGATGAAGATAGGATAGGAATGGGGTGGGGAGGGATTGGAGAGATATGGCCTTTGTTCATGTGATTACTAAAGAATTGCTGAGTCAACCTGGGATGCTGTGGACAGTTGTTCCTCTTCAATTACCAGGACTGCACAACTAATCTCTACTTATATACCTAATGAATCAGTTCTACCAAACTGGAAGGATGGTCAGGTATACTTGCAATGACAATATTAGAAATAGAAGCAATTCACATTGTTCTGGCGGTATCCCTGAAAACATCCCCTTCCCCACAAACAGCATTGGGAACAAAGTCCTGGAAACAGTGTCTAGGACTTGAGTTAAAGAGCGAAGTGCCCACTGCACAGGCTTTAGGGTCAGGAACGTGCTATGGACTTACTACCAAGCCACTTCCATTCTACCGCTAAGAATTTCTGTATTAAAACGTTTATTACTCGCCCTTCCTCCATGACTAAGTCGGAAAAGGAAAATCCTGGGACTCTTGCAAAGATCTCACCAGACTGGTGGAGTAACGAAGGTGACAAAGATACTAACAGCACTGAGTACATAATCCTAGGGACGTTCATCCCATCACGTTCGCAGCTTCCACTCAACGCTGCATCTCTTCCACCTGAGGCTTTCCAGCTTTTCTTTTTCGGGTATGCTAGGCTGCTATCACATTCGTAACTGCGCCAATTTCATCTGAATCTCGGCGGCTGCCTTCAGGCCCCAATTCCCCAGGGTTCAGACTCCAGCGTCTCCCCTGTCCCGCTACGGTCCTACTTCTTTTCTGGGTCTTATCTGGCAGGCGCTTAAGGGAAGCCGGAGGGCGTCAGTAGCGGGAAGCGAACAGAGCCCACTTACGTTGCTTAGCAACGGACTCAACTCTTCGGCCTCCGCTTCTTCAGGCTGCTGGGCGGAGACATTCCAGCCCTGCTCAGCGTTGAAGCTCCCCCAGGACGCCTCCATGCTGCTCTCCAGCTCACTACCAGGTCCATCTGCGAGGCTCTACCCCAGCTCTGCTCTCGAGTCGCCGGTCGCGCCAGAGGCGGAGCTATGAGCCCGGCCCTTCCGGCGCTCCGTACCTCACCAGGTCCGGGAAGGAAAGGACGCTCGCCCTCTCTGCGGCGAGCAGTGATGATGTCATCGACGCCCGCCAGTCCAGCCACTACCCACCTCGGAGCGGTACCGGAGCGGGAGGTGAGGGGTCGGCTCGCGGATCCAGCTGCAGAGCGACGCGAGGAATTGGAATGGTGCTTTGGTAAGGTGGCGGCCGCGGTAGGGACTAATGATCCAAGGGAGGTACCAGTCCGCCCGGGGCTGCTCTCCGCCTCGTACTGCCTGGACACGAAAACGGCGCGAGGTCACCCACCAGCCCAGGTGTTGACCTTAGGTCAGAGTTACTGGATAGTAAGGAAAGGTTCAAAAGCCTTTCGCCACATTTTACTGATGGGAAAACCGAGACTCACAGTAATTTATCCAGAGTCACCCAGCTGGTCAGCTGCTAGACCCAATTTGAACTCTGACGGCGTAGACTAAGTTGCTTTACAGGATTCTGGGACAGGGTCGTTTTCCCTTAAAAATAAATTCGTTGGTATTTTAAAAGACAGTGAATAACTGATTCTGTGCATCTAACACTCAGCAAAACTCTCGTCCGCAGAATTCAGAAACCTCTAGTTAAAGGCAGGACATGCGGCAGTAAAGCATCGAAAACAAACAACAGAGCAATATATTAAGAACACAAGCACCGAAGTCAGTCAAAACTAGGTTTTAATCCATGCTTAGCCACTTACCAGCTGGGAGACTTTGGGTGGGTTACCTTACTTCTGAGCTTTAGTTTACTCATTTACAAAATGAGGGTGCAATACTGCACACCTCCCAAAACTGATAATGTGCATAACGCATTTAGCACAGCATCTGACACAATAAGCACCCACGAGACTATCCTAATAAATATCGCCACTAGTAATGGTCATATATAATGACGATTTCATTTAGAGATGACCGTTTAACTCATACTTCAGCCTTCCAATCCCAAATGTATTATCTAGAAAATTGTGGCTGGAGAGGATTATTGAGTATGGCTGATGGATCACTAAGCAGCAGGTGAGTTAAAGGTGTAAATTTAACGTATACTACTATTATCTACCACTAATATGACTTCCTGAAAAAGTCACTTTTTTCTGGAAAAGATGATATACTTCCCATACACCACTAAACGTTTTATTTGTCAGCGTTTATCAGGTTATTTCAGATAGTAGAATTTAGATTTTTATTCTCAAAAGCTGTTGTGTGTGAATTATTATTATTATTTTTTTAAGGATCTTATGGAGGCCATTTGGATTCTCAAGAAGACTTCTGAAACTGGAAAGCCATAGCATAACTGAATCAAAATCATTAATTCCACTAGCTTGGACATCCCTGACACAGACGCTTTCAAAAGCACCTGATATTCTCTTATTGGGTCAAAGAAAATTATTCTCAACCATGCCAGAAATAGAAACACATGAGAGAGACTCTGAATTGTTTTCACCACCCTCTGATGTCCGAGGCATGACAAAACTTGATAGAACAGCTTTTAAAAAGACAGTCAGCATTCCAGTGCTTAAAGTGAGGAAAGAAGTAGTCAGTAAATTGATGCGATCCCTTAAAAGGGCAGCATTGCAGCGCCCAGGTGTAAAACGTGTAATTGAAGATCCAGAAGATAAAGAAAGTAGACTAATCATGTTGGATCCCTATAAAATGTTTACTCATGATTCCTTTGAGAAAGCAGAACTCAGTGTTTTAGAGCAGTTAAATGTCAGTCCACAGATCTCTGAATATAAGTTGGAACTAACATACGAAAACTTTAAGTCAGAAGAGATCTTGAGAGCTGTGCTTCCTGAAGGTCAAGATGTAACTTCAGGGTTTAGCAGAGTTGGACATATTGCACACCTGAACCTTCGAGATCATCAGCTGCCTTTCAAACATTTAATTGGTATGTGTGTCATAGTAATATTTGTGAATTTGAAGAGAACTTGCAAATTTTTCATTTTAGCTTTAAGAATTATTTTTTGGGGGCCTGGTGTGGTGGCTCATGCCTATAATCCCAGTACTTTGGGAGGCCAAGGCGGGCGGATCACGAGGTCAGGAGATCGAGACCATCTTGACCAATATGGTGAAACCCCGTCTCTACTAAAGATATTAAAAATTAGCTGGGTGTGGTCACATGCGCCTGTAGTCCCAGCTACTTCGGAGGCTAAGGCAGGAGAATCCCTTAGGGAGTCGGAGGTTGCAGTAAGCCAAAATTGTGCCACTGTGCTCCATCCTGAAGACGGAGTGAGACTCTATCTCAAAAAAAAAAGAAACAAAAAATTTTTTTAGTGCCAAGTTACAGAGGTAGAACATTTTATCATGTTAACTTTAAGCTAAATCTTGAGCTACATACCCTCTTTTGAGGGCCATTTTGGAATATCGTCTTTAGAGTCATAGCAAATTCCAAATACTGGTCCAGGCTTTTGTGTACACAAGTACATCAGTGTAGATTAAACTTGAATCACATGCTTTGGCAGCTACGTTGAGCAAAGTTCTTTTTGGTACACAAGACTTGTTAGGCCTTCAGGGCTGTTAAATACTAGGTTTCATAAATTTGGGTACTTTAGAGCCAAAAGTGTAAGATGTTTACTTATGCATTCATTGATTCAACTATTTGAGCCTGTTCTGTGTGTCAGACACCATACTGTCCTAATATACATTTATTTTATTTTTATTGATGAAGGGCATGATAATGGATAGTGGTAACATAAGTCCTTAAGCAGATCCTTGTAATTGTGACTGGGTACAAATGTCAAGTGTAGGCATTCCTATGAGTCACTGCCTACCCTAATTCAAACATCCCTCTGGCATTCCTATTTTATAAACTTTCTTTCATAGAGGCATTCATACATTAAAAGTGAAACATTTTAATACAGTAGTAATTTTAAAGCTTTTACTATAGACCTTCAGAATAGTTTTTTTTTTAATTTATAAATTTCATTCCTCATTTCAAACTAAATTCTGTACCTTAAAAGTTGAGTTCAAATACGTGAAGCAGAAAGGGAAAGAACAATGATTAATTCGTTTATTGATATATTCAAAAATAAGCATCTGATTATCAGAAATTGGACAAATGCTGGTTGTATTTCAGGATATTGTGTAATTGGGTACTGTGTGCTGACTTACAAATCAAGTTATCTTATGCAATAAGATAGCATATGGATTTTTATAACTTTTTAAAGTGCTATATATTAAAAAATATATTCATCAATAGGCCATCAGTATGCCAGTTCTGTAGCTTTTCTGCTCTGAAATAAATGAACATTTAATTTAGATAGGATTCTGAAGAATCTATGTTCCTTTTTTTGGAAACATTGTTTTGCTGTCATATATTTCTAAAGTGAAGGCATTTGTTCCAAACCCGCAGTAAAACAGACATTTGGCCTGAGGCCAGCGGAACTGACGGATGTTGTACTGTTTTCCGAGGCCATTTGTTGCCAGGCTCCTTACCTCTCTTTCCTTTCTTCCCCAGTTCTCTGTGATCTACTTTTTTGGTTCCTTGTTTATTGGTTCGTTTGAAAAGATTTAGTAAAACATGAAAAAATAATAGGTAGACCGAAACCCAACATTGTGTGTTTGTGTTGGCGACTGTCAAATATTAACTTTAGTCATCTGTTGAATTTTTTAAATTGCATGCCACATTACATTGTAGGTGCAGTTTTTATCAACTAAAGAAATACAACTCATTTCTGTTTCATATTAACAATTTTAGCTTTTATTTTACAACCAATAGGCAGTATTTACAGATTTTTATTTTTTCTTTTAGGTCAGGTTATGATTGACAAAAATCCAGGAATCACCTCAGCAGTAAATAAAATAAATAATATTGACAATACGTACCGAAATTTCCAAATGGAAGTGCTATCTGGAGAACAGAACATGTTAACAAAGGTATGTTTTATTATCTCCAAGTAAGGTGTATATCAAGATTATGTTTAGAATCAGAATAGATGACAAAGATTTAAAATACTTACAACAAGAGTATGTGAGAATGTGAGCCCTTATGTATGCTGTTGATGGAATAACATTGATAAAGCCTTTTCAGAAGAATTGGTTAAATTCTTATATAGTGATACAATGGAATATTTCCATCATTAAAGTTTTTTTAGCTCCATATTTGTTAAAATAAGTTGTCTATTGATAGGCTGACAATGAAAGCAATATGTGACAAAAAGCAAGTTATAGAGCAGTATGTATAAAACAGTTCTTGAAATATATTTAAACCCTCTAGGTTATACTCAGAAAGACTTTTAGTTGGCAGAAATTTGCAGAAACATTTCTACCTCTGTAACCTTAGTAATTTGCCAGAAGCATCTGTTAGGGTTGGGAGGGGGAAAAAAAAAACACGTACAAATTGGGAATTAAGGTCCTGGAAAGCAGATGACGGAAGATGTATCTATCAGATTTATAGAACTTAGGAATTTTCTGGCATTTGATTCTTCATCCATAAATTAAGGAGTTTAAGATGATGGCTGAGGTCATACTGCATGACTGTAACTTCAGTTTTATTTTCTGTTTTTTAAGGTGTCTACTACAGTAGACCCAAAAGAAATATTACAAAGTCTTTTGTTCAAGACTTAGCTTCACTGTATATATTATTTGGTTTACCCATGAAAACTCAAATTTGGGAAAGGAAAGAGAATCTGGGAATGATTCATTCTATACACTGGCTCTGATTTAGAGACAAAATTTGCAAAGTTCATGTAGGTATCTAAAAACATAGTAAAATACCTCAAAATTCAGTGACACATCTAGCATGGCTCCCTTTTACAAGCACAAAACTAAATAAGGAGGGACGCTTGTTTGCTGCATAGAAGTACTATCTGCAACTTGGCTACTCACCATGAAGATATGGGTGGTGTGTCGTTTCAAAACTGTATAGGTTTTGTCTGTCTGGTGACAAAAGTGAGTATAATTAAGCCAGTTAGTTGGCCAGTCTGAAAAATTGCTTATATCATTTGGTAACTAATTTATAGCCATGACCCTTTAGGATTGAGATGGAGAGACATTTGGCTTTGAAGAGATGATTTTTTTCTCACCAATAAGTCTAAAGCAGTGTATCAAATGGCTCTAGGAATAGCATAAACACCTTTGAAAATGCCTTTAGATGCACTGTTGTTGGCTCTTATAGTAGTAAATTTAAATGTGTATGTGTTTGCGTGTGTGTATACACACTTATCCAATATCAATGGTTAGGATTTAGGACCAAGGAGATTAACCAAAAGTATAACACCTTTCTTCAGGTTCGAGAAAACAACTACACCTATGAGTTTGATTTTTCAAAAGTCTATTGGAATCCTCGTCTCTCTACAGAACACAGCCGTATCACAGAACTTCTCAAGCCTGGGGATGTCCTGTTTGATGTTTTTGCTGGGGTTGGGCCCTTTGCCATTCCAGTAGCAAAGAAAAACTGCACTGTATTTGCCAATGATCTCAATCCTGAATCCCATAAGTGGCTGTTGCACAATTGTAAATTAAATAAAGTGGACCAAAAGGTGAAAGTCTTCAACTTGGACGGGAAAGACTTCCTCCAAGGACCCATCAAAGAAGAGTTAATGCAGCTGCTGAGTCTGTCAGAAGAAAGAAAACCCTCTGTGCACATTGTCATGAACTTGCCAGCAAAAGCCATAGAGTTTCTTAGTGCTTTCAAATCACTTTTAGATGAGCAGCCATGCAGCAGTGAACTCCTTCCTATAGTGCACTGTTACAGCTTTTCCAAAGATGCTAACCCCACTGAGGATGTTCGTCAAAGAGCTGGAGCTGTGTTAGGCATTTCCCTGGAGGCATGCAGTTCAGTTCACCTGGTAAGAAATGTGGCCCCAAACAAGGAAATGCTGTGCATCACCTTTCAGATTCCTGCTGCTGTACTCTACAAGAACCAGACCAGAAATCCAGGTGAGCAGTTTCTGGAAAATTAAATGTAAACCTTGCCATTCAATTGTGACTAGTTCCTCCTTGTTTAACAAATTGTAGTACAGTTTTAGTTCAGTCTAATAGAAAGCTCTTTCATTAAAATAGTAAATCTGCAAGAATGTTATTTCATATCTAAGTTGACTAGATTAAACATCTTAAAAATGCCTATATTGTTTGTTTTTTAAGAGTATCTTCAACTGTTAATATCTTACCTAAAATAGGTTTTCTGGATTTGTTACAGAGAATTGCGAAGATCCGCCTCTTAAAAGGCAGAGGACAGCTGAAGCCTTTTCAGATGAAAAAACACAAATTGCTTCAAACACTTAATTGGAAATGTTTTCTCCATCTCCCTACCAGACTTACATATAGCAAAATATAATTTGTATTATTAAATAAAATTTTAGTGTTCAGTTTTTACTATTGAACCCTTGTACTTTGCCTTATTTTATAAATTGAGGATTACGAATTAAACTTTAACTAAAATAAGTCTACCAAACACATTCCCTGTTATCTAAATTATAATATGTAATTATTTTATAATCTAAATTATATATAATTTTTATTAGATAAATATGATTAAATACTTTCGTTCAGGGAAAATCATTTATGAAGGCAGGGTAATTGAGTACTGACTAGCAAGACACTAACACCACTTTGTAGTTGTCCTTTATATTACTGCTCCTTTACTACCAATTAACTATCACCATAAAAGTAATAAAAAATGGAAGTTATTTAGAACAGGGCAGACAAACTACATCCTGCAGGCCAAATCTTGCCCACCGCCTGTGTTCATATGGCCTGTGACCTAATAATGTTCTTATATTTTCCATTGGTTGAAAAATAAAAGAACATTTTGTGATACGTGAAAATTGTATGACCTCTACTATGTATCAGTTTTAAAAGTTGAACTGTGCCTATCGCAGTGGCTCATGCCTGTAATCCCAGCACTTTGGGAGACTGAGGTGGGTGGATCACGAGGTTAGGAGTTTTGAGACCAGCCTGGCCAACACAGTGAAACCCTGTCTCTACTAAAAATACAAAACTTAGCCAGGTATGGTGGCATGTGCCTATAGTCCTAGCTACCCGGGAGGCTGAGGCAGGAGAATCACCTGAACCTGGGAGGCAGAGTTTGCATTGAGCTGAAACCACACCATTGTACTCCACTCTGGGTGACAGAGTGAGACTCCACCTCAAAAAAAAAAAAAAATTGTATGATATTAAGAGTTTCAGAGTTCATATAAAGTTTGATTGGAACATACCATGCTCATTTGTTTACATATCATCTGCAGCTATTTTTTGTCTTTAATATAGAATGCTCATGAATTTGCATGTCATCCTTGCACAGGGACCATGCTAATCTCTATATTGTTCCAGTTTTTTAGTATATGTGCTGCTGAAGTGAGGACTGTAGCTGCTTTCTTCAAACAACAGCAGAGTTGAGTGGTTGCAACACATACTGAATGTGACTGGCATCATTTCACACTTCTTTTTGGCACATCACAAATCACTGATCTGGTTGTGACAACAGCATTTTGAGTGCCATGTATATCACATGAACCCACATTTTTTATTACCAGAGCATATTATAGCAAAACAAGAAAAGTGGATTTTGTTGTATTTTTAAAATACAGTAGGGTGTAAATTATTTTGATGTTCAGTTAGATGACAGAGCATCTATAGCTATGCTAAAAGAATAAAATAACTGCTGACATTACCAGACAAACCACACATCACAGTATTCCCAACTCACAGGCAAGCAACTGTCAGAAAAATTAGAAAATTTAAAATGGAAATATCAAAGCAGACTTTCTTCACAACATGAAAATGAGGCTGTAACCAAAGTAAGTCTCCAAGTGAATCATTTGTTAGCCAAGCAAGGAAAGCCATTTACTCATGGTGAATTAGTTGTGTTTGGATGCAGCAGCTGAAGTAATGTGTCCAGAGAAAATAAACTTGATAAAGACTACTGGCCTTTGGCAAGAACAGTTGCTCAAAGAGTTAAGGACATTGAAAGCAACATAAACAGTCACTTAGAAAATGATTCTGGATGGTTTTTTTGAATCTATTTTTATTTTTACTTAGAGACAAGGTCTTGCTCTGTTGCCCAGGCTGGAGTGCAAAGACAGTCACAGCTCAATGTAGCCTTGAACTCCTAAGCTTGAGATCTTCCCATCTTGGCTTCCCACAGCGTTAGGGTTACAGGTGTGAGCCCCTATCTGTGGCCCTCGTGAATGGTTTGGCAGCATCCCCTTGGTGGTGTCCTCACGATAATGAGTTCTCATGAGCCGGTTGCTTAAAAGTATATGGCACCCGCCCCCCACACTTTTGCTCCTGCTTTCGCCATGTGAAGTGCCTGCTCCTGTTTTGCCTTCTACCATGAGTAAAAGCTTCCTGAGGCCTCCCCAGAAGCAGATGCCAGTGCTGTGCTTCCTGTAGCCTGCAGAACCAATTACACCTCTTAAAAATTACCCGGTTATTTCTTTACAGCAACGCAAGAATGACCTAAAACACAAGGCAAAACAACTTTAATATGAAATATACTATAGTACAGTCATTTTGACAATCAATATTTGAAGCACAATATTTGAAGCACAGTATCTTTACACATTTGTCATGCTATCAGAAGATAAAACAAAAATTTCCATTCTTACAAATTGTAGCAAATATATTTTCTGAGTTCAGCATTTTTAGGGACCTTGGTGCAAATGCAAAGAAAATTTCTCCTTTTCAAAATCTATATAACTGCAATTGAGGTTATGCAATCTAATTTTCAGTAACAAGTGATTAAAATAATGGCATGCTAAATGGCAAATTTCAAGGGAAAACTCTAATAGAATTTTACAAATGCTTTCCAAGTGATTTCCATTTTCCAAATGATGAATTAATTTCATGTGCCCCTGGATCGATAGCAGTATTTGGCAATACCTATCTGTATGAGAAGATATTTCTAAAGATAAAATATGAAAAATCTCATTACCATTAGTATTAATGGTTAATGACGGTTAATGATAACCCTTAACAGGCAATCATTTACAACTGATTTTGATCACAGGGAACATTTACTTAGAACCCTAATTAAAGGCAATGTTATTCACCAAAAACGGCATTACAAAAAATTGGACTATATTTTGCATTTTGTCAATTAAAAAAGTGTAGGAGCAGTGTGAAGAAGAGGCAAGAACGACCCCATGCAACCAAACCCTGCGCGCCGCTGCATCCAGCACCCAGCACCTACGTCCCGCCACCGCCACCATGTCCAAGAGAAAGGCTGAAGGGGATGCTAAAGGAGATAAAGCCAAGGTGAAGGACAAACCACAGAGAAGGTCTGCAAGGTTGTCTGCTAAACGTGCTCCTCCAAAGCGAAAGCCCAAGCCTAAAAAGTCCCCTGCAAAGAAGGGAGAGAAGGTACCCAAAGGGAAAAGCTGATGCTGGCAAGGAGAAGAATAACTGCAGAAAAAAGGAGATACCAAAACAGTCCAGGCCAGAAAACTGAAGGTGCTGGAGATGCCAAGTGAAATGTGTGCATTTTTTACAACTGTATACTGGTGACTGTACAGTTTTAAATACTATTTTTTGTCAGTTTTATAAAAATGCAGAATTTTGCTTTCCTTTTTTTTGTTGTTAAGCTATGTTGTCAGCACACAGAACAATTCATTGTTGTTTTTTGGGGGAAGGGGCATATGTCACTAATAGAATGCCTCCAAAGCTGGATTGATGTGGGGAAAACACCTTTCCCTTCTAGTTTTGAGAGACTTCCTCTTGGCTCCCAGGAGGAGGGATTCCCTTTGACACACATGGCCACCTTGGCACAAAAGCCTTGTGGTATGGAAGAAGAAATTCATTTTTATGTCCTCTTCTCCCTTTCCATCTTTCAGCACAGACTTAACTCCCTTAAGCCCAGACATCTGTTGGGACCTGACCCCCAATCATTGGTTACCAGTGTGTCAGGCCATCTGGACTTGCCAGTGATGCCACTGAGATGGCACCTGTCAAAAGAGAAGTGGTTCCATTTCTAGATTGTGGCTCTTCAGATAACTTCCGCCATTTTAATTTCACTTCCTGAAAGTTCCAGCTTGTGAAAAGTTGTTAAACAACATTCTAAATGTGAAAGGTCAACCCTCACTCTAAACTATTCCTGTTCAGAGCATCAGGTAAAGATTTCATTGGGTTTTCTAGTGGCTTTCTGGTTTTTGGCAGTCCATTGAAGAAAGGAGTTTGAAAGTTATATACTGTTAATGATTGTCTGCCCTGTCCTGCCTGAAATACCATGATTGTTTATGGAAAGTATCGTTAATAAAGCTGGATACAGTTTGAAAAAAAAAAAGGGGCAATTTGCTTTACCTCGTTCTGTAAGTAATATCCTCGATTTTGCTTGTTACCACTGCAAAGCCTAAAATATTTACTATCTGGCCCTACAGAAAATGTTTAAGAACCCTAATCTAGATAATTAATTACAAATTCAAATGCCTTCAGAAGTCTGGCAGGTCAGGTAACGAATGAAAGCAATAAATGGTAAGCAGTATAGGGATGTAATAAACTGGAGCCCTCATTCCTTACTTAAAGGAATTACATTCAAATTGTTTTGAAACTCAATCCAAGTATAGTACGTTAATGTCCTAGGTTATAAAGCATGTGTACAAATGACGTTCTTATTCATACATGTAAAGTGGTAAGAGTCTTGTCTCCCTTTAGTTACTCTGGACAAAATATGCAATATGTAATTGTAAAGGAAACAGAATCCTTAAATGTATAAATTAACATTTTAACTTCCCCCTTTTCCTTCAGAGTGGATAAGTGAATATGTGATTATCCTTTATTTAAATCTAGGTCCATCCTAAACTTTCAGATGCGATACCTAGTAAATGAGTTCCTGATGAATCTACTAGAAAATGACAGCTAGAAAGCTCATTAGATACAATTTTTAATTTTGTTAACTTTTTGACAAATTTTCTGCCACCTTAATTGGATTTTAAAATAATTACCTGAAAACCTGTTGACAGCCTAAAGACAGCTTATTAGAGAAGTGTTGGTGAAATATTCATTGAATCAAATTAAGGAATACTAAGTAATCGTGCCTACTAACTATGATGTAAATGCATTCTGTACGATTAATACCTGCTTAAAAGGAAGTATAGTTAGTAAAATCATTTTCTACAGCATGAATTTGTCAGAACTTCTCTTAGGACATCAACAAGTTCATTTAGTTGATGTCATTTATATCCCATAAAAGATCTAGATACTTGATCTGTAGAACTTCCTGGAAGTCTTATGAAGTTCAATTACCCAGGACTAGTTTTAGCACAGCTGTTGTTTGCCAGTCATCTCTAGAGCATGGATTCTGGAGTCTGGCTGCCTCAGTTCAAATCTTAGCTCTGCTATTTTTAAGTTATGACTGTTGGCAACTTACCTAACCTCTGTCTCAGCTTCCCCATCTGTTAAAATGGGGAAAATAATAGAACTGTTCTGAGGATTAGGTAATAAAGAAAGCATGAAGCACAGTGCCTGGGACACAGGTAATATAGTAGTTGTTAACTGTTACTTCTGTACTCATAAAATACTTTAAGACTTAGTTCATGTAGATGAAAGACATGTACAGCCTTTGTCTCTTGAGAGTAAATCACTCAGAGGGTAGGGGATAAGCACCTCAATTTAGAATATTTCTGTTGCTTAGTAAATTCAGTGAATTCACTAAACCTCAGTGAATTGTCACTAGGTTATTTTTCACCATTCTCTTTGATCAAGTAAGGTCAGTTCACTTCTAAATTTGGGCTATTGAAAAAAGTACAGCAATAGCAAGTGCAAAATGTTTACAAATGTATAAAGGTTTTGGAATTTATTTGCCAAACCAGGTGCATGCAATATCCACAATAAGGCAGGCTCAAAACAAGTCTTAAAACCCTTGATATATTTTATTAATTCATGCATTCTTTTAAAATACATTTATAAAAGGTTTGAGAACAAGCAGTAGTGTTTCTTTTCAAAAGATTGGATTCCTTATTTTTGTAGTTGGCTGCTGCAAAGCTTTAACTGTACATTCAGTGTTCTAACTATTCTTTAAACAGATTTACAGACTGTACTTAAAAACACTAATCCTCAGTTGGGAAATACCTAATAGATAAAGGAATAGGATATGCAGTCTGGTAGAGTATAGATGGAACCGGACTTCAATTTAAAAAAACAAAAACAAAAAAACCCCTGTATTCTAATTCTGGCTTTTTACTAACTTGTGTATATGATCTTTGTCTATTCTATTATTTGATGCCTTGGTTTTCTCATTTATCAAAGATAGTAGAAGTACAATAAAGATGAAAATGTATTCCTAAAATTAATTAATACCTGCTTAGAAAAGTAAGAGGGAGTTGTTACATATGGACAGTCCATGCTAATGAAACCACAAGTTCTGCTTCACGTAAGTTTCTATCTATAAAACTAACATCTGTTGTAATAGAGATTTGATAGGAAATCCCTTAATTTCCTTAAGAAACTATATCCCATATCCAATGGTCTATGTAACAAACTCATACAAGGTTAAGATGCTGCAAATAATCATCCTTTTCAAATCTAAACTCTTTAAGCAAAACCCTGGTAATAAAAGCCTTTGAAGTTTCAACAAAAAACTGTATCAGTATACAATTTATACATAGGGAAATTCTACTTAAAATGTACCTTCTCCAGTCTCCAAGGATTCATCATAAAGTGAGCTTACATTGGAGGTGAAAGGTGTCATTTAAGTATTAAATTTTATTAACTTATTTCTTTGAATGTGTCATTAAAGCAGGTTAATGCTGGGCTCTGTTTTAGCCTGAGTGTGGCTCACAGCTGGGAACTATAACACCTTGATCAAAGTTTGCCTCATTTTCCACTGCTTAAAATAGGCATTGAGTCCTTAGCATTGAGGGAATGACATTATCATGGGTCAGGTTTTTCTTGCTTGCCATAACTTGGTCAAAGGAAATATATCCACTTGTCTGGACTAGTATTAACAAGACATTAGGAAAAAGGGGAACATTTTATGAGAAGAAATAATAGACGGATATTAACCGTAAATGTTGTAATCAAAATGGTATTTAAAATGTGTTCTAGTAAAACACTGTAATAAGAGAAAAACCACAGAACTTAACATAAATTCTAGCTTTATTTTTTAAAAAGATTTTATAAGTCCAACTTCAAACACATACGGGTGAATTATTTATTCCTCTCTTCCATCAGATGAGGCTTATTGTGTCAAATCCTCTGAAAAATATAAGTAAAAAATCTTTTTCACAAATATATATTCCTTATATTACTCATCTTAGTTCTTTATATACTTTAACACAGCTGCTAGTGGTAGAACTGTGTTGTGCAGCTGCATATAGCTATAACTTTACAAGTCTGCTTTACTTTCACTAGCTCCCTGGTTCAGCTCCAAGGTCCAAATCTTATAAATGGTTAACTGGGTTGCCAGAAAAGCCCACTGAATGCATCCTGTAGTGCTCTGTGACAAGCAAGAGAAGAAGTATAGCCTCCAGCAAGGTCCTGTGGAGAGGCAGCTCTGACATGGTTTAAATACCTAAAACAAAACAAGAAGTACAGCATTGATATAAAAAGCAAATATAAATTGGTAACATTTTAAAAAGCAATAGTAAAACTGATTCGAGTTTTAAAGAGGAATTCCAAGATTGAAATATTCAGGCTTTTATTATAAATAGATTATTACCTTTCAAAAGGAAACATGCCAACTGTACATGTAGTGCCTAAACTAGTACGAACTTACTAACAAATTACCATGGGGTCTAAAAAGAGTTCTGAAAGAGGTTTCAAAAATAATTCTAAAATATTCACTTCTTCACAATTTTCAGAGCTGATTTGTTTTGTTGGCTGTTTTTTGGACATCTAACTAATGTCCTTCTTCCTAGCATATGCTTAAGAAATACACAGTATCACAATACCATTGTTATATGTTTTAAAGCAAGCCCTAAATACCTAAACAAATTGAAGAGGGAAGAGTACATAGGAATTACTTCAAAAGCACTTCAATATTCCAAGATATATTGTCTCCTTCATTGCTGGAAAGGAAACATTAGAAGATTACATGTTGAAGAAATCTCTGCGACTGAGACTGAGTTCAAAATAATGTCTGAAAAAGTAAATACAGAGAAGTCTTACTGATCTCAAAGAACAATATAACAATTCATTTTTTTCTGCAACCACACAGTTTTGTTGTTTTAGCAATTAAACCTTTCTATCGTGACAAAAATAGACAAAACAGGCCTAAAAAAAATTGGACAATCTAGCCAAAGGGGCAACTTAGCATGACTACTACCATTGCTGGAAGCAAATAATTCCAGCTTTGTTTTAATGCTTAATTTAAGAAACTACCTTGTTTCTTCAGGAAGTAAAGGAGCTTCACCCACCTTAGAATTACTGGTATGGCAAATGAATAAATCAGGTACCAGAACATTTTAATAACTTGGAACCTTTTTTACTGATTCATTCAAACTTCCTGTGTGTCAAGATCTTAATGCATGAGCAACTTATAACTTCAAATATAACAAGTCTGTTTTTCATTTGTATTCATGTTTAATAAACCTCTATAATGAAAATATATACAGCAATATAAGACTCTAATCGAAAAAATGAATCAAGTTAGGATGCAGGCTAAGTTCCTGGAATTAGCTATAATTTATTCACACTGCCACAAATCAAGGTTTTAACTCAAGTCTTTGCTTCTCTGCCAAAGATGAAACGGGAAAGTGGAAGGAAGAAGAAAATTAATATTTATTGAACAAAAACATTTTGATAGTATTTTATAGCCATAAAACATATCTGAGCATGCATCTGCAAAATTTGTATACTTATTTATACATAATATACTAATATAGTAAGTATATTATAAAAATAGAAAACTTCAAGGATGAAATAAAAATAAAAGTTCTGGCTGCGTGTGGTGGCTCATGCCTGTTATCACAGCACTTTGGGAGGCCAAGGTGGGTGGATTATTTCCTGAACTCAGGAGTACAAGACCAGCCTGGCCAACATGGCCAAAACCCTGTCTCTACTAAATACAAAACATTAGCCGGGCATGGTGGCGTGCACCTGTAATCCCAGCTACTCAAAAGTCTGAGGCAGAGCGAGACTCAATCAATCAATGTTTTAATATTTTCTTCCTACACCCCATCTTACCTACCCTCATCCACTTTGGAGACTACTGTTACTAGTCTTTATTGTCTAGGTGAGGTGGCTCACGCCTGTAATCCCAGCACTCTGGGAAGCCAATGTGGGTGGATCACCTGAGGTCAGGAGTTTGAGACCAGCCTGGCCAACATGGTGAAATGCTGTCTCTACTAAAAATAGAAAAATTAGCTGGGTGTGGTGGCAGTTATCTGTAATCACAGCTACTCGAGAGGCTGAGGCAGGAGAATTGCTTCAGCCCGGGAAGCAGAGGTTGCAGCGAGCAGAGATCATACCACTGGACTCCAGCCTGGGCAACAGAACAAGAGCCTGTCTCCAAAAAAAACAGTTAGTCATTGTTAAATTCTTTATAGAATCTTAGGTCATACAGGATTTAAATAGGGATTCACCATACCTACCCCATGGCCATAAAATTATCTGCTTATTACTTCCCAAGACACAATAAAATATCAACTGTTAAGATTCTGATGCATGAGAAATGAAGTAAATGTTAAGTTACCTCAGAAATGTCTAAAAATTAATCTGGCTTCACAGGGAATTCAATAACTATCATACAAATAAGTAATATTTTTATAGGTAACTTGAAATGTTCCATTTCTGATACAAGTTTCCAGCTAATTTTTATCCACACACCAGATGATGATGTATCACCCTTTTCTTTCCTCAGATCCGCAAAAGAAAAGCATAGTCTTAGCTTTAATAGATGTTAACTCATGGTAAAATTCAAGCACTGCAGTAGAATGTTTGTCAACCTTGAAAAGCCAACCATCATAAATGAAAATTGGTATTCATAGCTGTATATACAAACCACTGTGCAACTAACTGTTTTGATTCATCACATTTTGGTACAGCTTGCTTCTGGGAAAATTGAGTCATACCATATCTGGCTTGGCAATTTGAACACAAACTTGCAATGTGCATACAGCTTTTTATATGTTATCCTGAGAAACCTGAAACAGCTGCATTGCTGGCAGGAAAACACAGGACCACCAGTAAAATATTCAAAACAGTTGCATCTTTTAATTTATAGCTGTGTTTCCATAGAAAGTATATAAAACAGTTTATAGGTAAAATGTTACAGTCATACTCATTGATGCCATAAATGTGTAAAAAACATTTATCTAAAATGATTAGTGTTTGAAATTAGTATTTTTTGAAATAGTCATAATCCAGAGTAATGAACAAATATTTTTAAATTTGACTTATTAATGCTGAGTTGTACAATTCTCACTGCCAAAATCAAGTCAATTAACATTTCTTTGCATAGCACTGAAGAAAATGCCCTTCCCTTCTAGCAATCATTTACATTAAACATGTCTGTGAGTATGAGTCTTTAAAAGTCCTGTTTATTTACATTGCTGTTTTTGATCTCTAGGGCTACACAAAACTGTTACTGTGAAGTATTTCAAAATATTTTCACCATGGCAACATACATTAATGCCAATAAAAAAATAAAACAAAGTTCATTTTTGTTACTCAATTGTGGGCTTTTTTTCTTAGGTATCTTAATGTTCTTAAGCCCTTTAATTATTGTAGCATGTCAAAAGTATTTTAAAGAATCTGCCACATTGAAACAGCACAATGAAAATTTAGCGTTTTGTGTACTTTTCTACCTTAATCCACATCTGTGTTTTTATTCTTTCATGACCATTACAAGTATATCACTGAGTAGGATTCCTGGGGTTTCTGGCAGAAGTCAGTATCATTTCATGTATACCTTTATAAAACAGAATGAGGAAGAAGTCTTGGCCAAATTTATTTCCAAAAGTCAAGCTCAGTTGAGTTTGGGAGCCTGGAGGTAATTGCTCTGACTATTTAGCCAATCCCAGGACACTATTCCTGTTTTTCATGGGTTTATTTTAAATATGTGTAAATCTTATAAGCAGAAACCAGGAAAGTAAAAATGAGGTTTGCTTATTTTGGTACCTATACATTATTTTTACTGAAAGCAGACTAAACTCAAAGACTTAAAAAACCATACCTTTGATTATTTTCTTAATAATGCTAAAAAAAAAGCATGTTTCAAAAGCATGTCTAAGATAATTCTTGTACAAAGGACATCTTATGCCCTAATTTATGCTCTGTCTAAAGCTGCCTTCCTATCCCATCAAAATCCCTTTCAAACAGACCTTGGAGAAGGGGGAGGGAAAAGGAGCAATGGATCCTGAGAAGAGCGGAAGACAGGATTAAGCATTAGAAAACCACACGTGAAGGTTTGTTCCTGAACTTTGATTTCCTACGCTGTCATTTTCTTATGTTGTATTTAGCAGCTTTTGCTGCCCCAAAGAAAGTGGTATAATTTACACTTAGCTTCAGAAAGTCTTCATTTTCTTAGTTCTTTAACATAAGAGTGCCTCTGAGATTACTCTTTTCCTATTTCCCCTCCTTTAAAAGCCCTATATTGACCATCTGGCTGAAGTCTTGGACTCAGCTCATTTTAGTGCTATTTAACAATGCTTTGAGTTCTCAGCTACAGGCAGAGGGCAGGGCTTGTCACTCAAGACCAAGAGGCAAGCTACCCTTCCTGTCCAGTCATAATCTGTTTGTGACAATCCTTAAAGCACATTGGCTTGAAATTCATATTGAAATGAAAATGTAAAGTTCACATTAGTTTCCTTCACTTCAAATTACCAGGCCCTGTGGAGAGTTAAAAACTTGGACTGATCAAACTAAGAAAGGTAGTGAACTCTAGAGACTGACTTTCTTTTTACAAGGTGGCCCGTTTTTTAAAATCTGCATTTAAAACTATCGTGCATTAAACAGACCATTTGCAAAGAGATCTGTGTCCTATAGCGCACAAAATTGAAACCTAACTGCCATTAAGAGAGATCAACCAGCTGATCTCAGGTATCAAGACCCACAACTCTTGTAGGAAGTTCAGCCAAAGCTATAAAAGATTTACATTAACAACCTGAAGTCTATCTCAGTGAGATTTAAAAATAACCAGAGCAATAGTGTGCTCACACAACTGTCACTAAAAAGCAAAAACATTCTTAAAGTTAATGGTTAGGTGTCTTAACCTAAGCATAGTACCAGAATAATAGACAAAAATTTACAGAGTGGTAATCATATATTTTTTAAGTAAATTGGAAAAACACCACAAGTCAAAAATACTGTCCATAATTTTGACCACAATGTGGTTATAAAAACATATGGCGGGCTGGGTGTGGTGGCTGACGCCTATAATCCCAGCACTTTGGGAGGCCGAGGCAGGCAGATGACAAGGTTAGGAGTTTGAGACCAGCCTGACCAACATGGTGAAACCCTGTGTCTACTAAAAATACAAAAATTATCTGGGCATGGTGGTGCGCACCTGTAGTCCCAGCTACTCAGGAGGCTGGGGCAAGAGAATCGCTTGAACGCGGGAGGCAGAGGTTG